GCCGCAGTGCCTCCTAACGTATTTTGTTTAAAAGATTAACAGCAATGCTACTTAGAAAAGAAGCTCAACTTTAGGACCCGCACCAAAATACTGAACAATAATTGCAAACAATACAGATCGAGAGACTGGCTCTTTCAGATTTGAAAAGGAGTGCGGCAAAAAATTGGATTGAAGTGAATGTTCGAGGCTGTTTTGGAAATTTTGAGTAATTTAGTGTTCTTATTTCTTCAATCAACTTTTCTTCGCACTATGACGCTAATTGTAACGCCAAAACAAGTATCATTTTGGTGTTACAATGAAATCGAACAGTTGCAGCTTATGCAAAGTACCAGAGCGTGGTGAAGGAGCGCAAAAAAAGTTGACAACTCTTAAGTAATGTTGACGGCCATAAAACATCAAACGATTTTTTCATTAATCGTAAGGAAACAATTCAAATCAGAATTTTAACTAGACCCAACTTTCGTGTTATTTTGTCCCCTCTTTGTTAAGGAGTGCAGTGAAGATGATTGTCACCTTATTTCCGCTCAATGGATAGGCATATAGAGAAGTTCGAAATATAAATCTTCCGACATCCTTCATGCGACCGCAAAAAAATATCACAGATGAATACAAATAGAATGAATACAAATCCATTACACTTGTCCGAGAAACGGCTAACTCGTACTAATTGAGGTTTTGTGCACTCACAATCTTGCGAGTGTGCAAACTAAATGAAACACCCGCATGATCCACAAATGTATTCGTGTAAAGATTGATCTTTCGGTTTAGAAACAAATTTTGCACATGGGACTTATATGTCCAAATATATGTTTGAAATTAGGAAGTACTGCACATCTCTTCTGATAAAGTTGTGACTATGAAATCAAAAATGGCTCAAAGAGTATGATAACGTGAATCTGTGAAAAATAAAGAACCATTATTTTCTACTAAAATCTACAAAAGACATTTAGCAGCTTACTTTTACTGGTAGGATAATTGTACTAAGAGCAATCAGCACTAAAAACAACTCAAAAATTTGATTTGAGAATTAGGAAGAGGTGATGGCGCATGAACCTCTTTCAAAAAGTAAATATAAGGAAGGTGTAAGAATTTGACTGGAAAAAGAAATGAGAAAGGGGGTTCTAACGACAAATAAGTAAAGAACTTTGTAATGACAAACCTAGCAAGTACAGTTGCGACTGAAAGTGCGCAAACAAC